ATGTCAGTGGTGATGCAGAGCCCCCCAAAGAGCCAGGGCAGCCCCCAAGGCTGGGGGCACTAAAAAACCTCCGAAATGGTGACATAACCAGGCTGGCTGATTGATGGCTTCCAATATAGCAGGAGCTGCAGAGGATTGAAAATTTACCAGGTCAGGAGTGCAGCAAAAATTTTATTCGCAGCCTCCGGGTGTGTTTTGAAATGTGCAACAAAATAAAAACCTCTGAACCCGTGGTGACACCCGGGAGGTTTGGTGGTGCCACGCCAGCCCTGTGAGTCTCATTTAAATGCAAATGTCTCAGCAACTTCAGCAGCACATCCTGTTTAAATGTATAAAACGCCTTGGAAAAGATTCCGGGCAGGATTGACACCCACAGTGAAACTTTAAAGAAGATTATGAAAATAATCCGGGTTTTTTTTTGGTTTTTTTTGTTTGGTTTTTAGCTGGAAGCTGAGGCTGTGCCTGAAGTATCTGAAAAATATGGAATTAGTTCTGTTCCAACGTTCTTGTTCTTTAAGGTAAGAGGAAGTGGATTTAAGAGGAAATGAATTTAAGAGAAAATGGATTTAAGAGAAAATAGAATTTGTGTGAACTCTTTATATTTTTGTAATAATCTGCCAGAACCTTAAAACTTTCTCAGTGAGGAAACATCTCTGTAACTGATTGAAATCTATCCACTGGAACCTAAAAATGGAGATGGGAATGGTTTTTGCACTTTGTATGGAATATTTCAGAACTTCTTTAATTGCTTTGGGATTCATACACAGTTTTTATTTTAGTTGTTGTGCTTGGGTTGAAAACTTTACAGTGATGTTCCTTTGTAGGTGGGAAAAAAACAGGTAAATACAGTAATAATAGAAAAATAATAGAAATAACAATTCTGTTTGGGTTCTTTGGATGCCTCAGGATTTCAGTTTTTCCATTTCCATGTCTCTGTACTTCTGGAATTCTCCAGTGTTTAACTCCAGACTCCACAGACAGTGCTGAGTTCCTGCTCTCCCATTTTTACACAAAACAATTCCTCTGCAGCCCCAAATTCAAGGACACCTCCCTGGGCCAGGCCCCAAAAAATGGAAAAAACAGAGAATTGGGGGGAGCCAACTTGGAGTCAAAGACTGCATTGGCTGAGCTGCAATTGGAGGATTCAGCCCCGATGGGCAAATGGACAAAAGTGAGAAAGGGTGAAAAACCCGTGAGCCATTGCCCATTGTGGGTGTGGGACTGCCCTGGATGGCCCTGAAGGCCCTGAAATAACAGAACTGCTTTGGATTCTGTGGATTTTGTCTGGTTTAGGGAGCTGGATTTAGGCATCACTTGTTGCCTGTGGCGATAAAATGGATCATATTTTCTTTATCAAGTGTTTCCAGAGGCAGATTTGATGTCGTTACCACCATCAGAAAGGCACAGGGCTGGGAATGCAGGGTGGGCTCAGAGAGGTTTGAGGGGTGCCCATTCACTGTGAGCTCAGTGAGGTTTCAGAGGTGCCCATTCCCAGTGGGCTCAGTGAGGTGCCCATTCCAGGTGAGATCAGTGAGGATTCAGTGGTGCCCATTCCCAGTGGATGAGCTCAGCGAGGTTTCAATGGTGCCCATTCCCAGTGGTTGGGCTCAGCAAGGTTTCAGTGGTGCCCATTCACTGTGAGCTCACCGAGGTTTTAGGGGTGCCCATTCCCATTGGGCGAGCTCAGCGAGGTTTCAGTGGTGCCCATTCACTGTGAGCTCAGCGAAGTTTCAGGGGTGCCCATTCCTGGTGGGCTCAGCGAGGTTTTAGTGGGTGCCCATTCCCAGTGGATGGGCTCAGCGAGGTTTCAGCAGTGCCCATTCCTGGTGCGTGAGCTCAGCGAGGTTTTAGTGGGTGCCCATTCACTGTGAGCTCAGCAATGTTTCAGGGGTGCCCATTCCTGATGGATGGGCTCAGTGAGGTTTCAGCGGTGCCCATTCCTGATGGATGGGCTCAGCGAGGTTTCAGCAGCACAGATTCTGATCTGCAGGCTGTTGTGTGTCCCTGCAGAACTCACAGAAGGTGGACAGGCTGGACGGAGCCCACGCTCCGGAGCTGACACAGAAGGTGCAGCGGCACGCGGCYGGCGGAGCTCCGACCCCCGGCACCGGCGGCTCTTCCAGCGAGGCGGAGCTCCACGCGCGGCTCCGCARGCTGATCAACGCTGCACCCTGCATGCTCTTCATGAAGGGCTCCCCCAAGGAACCCCGCTGTGGTGAGCATCTCCTAAAGGGTCTGGGAATCCTTCCCAGAGGGAGCATTCATGGGGAAGACACCAAAAATGTAAAAAATACAAAGGAATTCGCCTTTATGTGAAGTAGGGAAGGATGCTCTGAATGTAAGGTGGTAGAAAATATCAGAAAGGTCAAATTTTGGAGTTAAACTGGTGAGAATAGCAGTAAATAAACAGAAATTAATGGGGTTTGGCCCATTTTATGTTGTTTGAGGCTGTTGACAGAGCAGAGCTGCTGCAGAGGAAATGCCATTTTTAGGTGAATGGGGTGAGCTCAGAGCAGAGGATGCTCTGTGTAAAACCCCCAGAATTGTGTTTGCCGTGCCTGCAGGGTTCAGCAAGCAGATGGTGGAGATCCTGGGCAAGCATGGCATCGCTTTCAGCAGTTTTGACGTGTTCTCAGACGAGGAGGTGCGCCAGGGGCTCAAAGCCTTCTCCAAGTGGCCGACCTACCCGCAGCTCTACGTGGCCGGGGAGCTCATCGGGGGYCTGGACATCATCAAGGTCTGACCACACCTTCTGCTCTTTCTGCTTTGGCAGAAATGCCTTTTTCTTCCTTTTTCCATCTGATTTTTTTGCTTTTCCCCCCTGATTTCCCCAGGAGCTGGAGGCGTCTGGAGAGCTGGACACAATCTGCCCAAAGGCCCAGAAGCTGGAGGACAGGTGGGTGAATTAAATCCATTTTTGAGGTTTTCTCTCTTAACCCCCCTTAGAAATTCCTTCTTTCTCCAAAGTCCCTCAAAAACTGATTTCTCTACAGAACTCCTGCAGTTGTTCAATGCCCTCTGGGTTTTATATATTGGATATAAAATAGTGAAATTTGGAATAATGACATTTTTAATCAGCCTGGTGTCTGGAAGGTGGATTCCCATTGGGAATGGGATTCTCTGTGATGTCCCTCCCAACCCATCCCAGCTGGAATTCCTGCATTTTATCCAATTTTTTCCTTTCCACTCTGGCATTTTGTTTCCTCTCCAGACAAAGTTTGAGATGTTAACCAGGCTGTCCATTTCCTTTTGTAGGCTGAAATCCTTGATAAACAAAGCTCCTGTGATGCTCTTCATGAAGGGAAGCAAACAGGTAACGTGGAACCAGAATTCCAGAATCAATGGAATTTATTCCAGAATTCATGGAATTTTCACCTTGTGTTCCTTTCATTCAAATGAACGCTGCTGGAAATGCTGTTTGTGTTTTTATTTGGTGTTTTTGTAAACCACAGAGCAGTCCCTGTGTCGTTATTGCTGAATATTCAAATCTAAAAATGGCTGGGTGGGTTTTGTCCTTGTGTGAAGGGTTGGCAGTGGGTATTAATTATTAGTTTATTATTAATTAATAATTGTTATATATCCATATAATATAAATATTGCATATTTTTAATAGAAATATTACGTATTATTACAGATGTACTATATATAATAATTATCTATATGAACACAGTTACATAGGATTGACAGTGGGTWTTAATCATTAATTATAATTTTTAAWTTTWATATATAAAAATACAATTAATTATGTAAGATTGGCAGTGGGTATCAATAACTAATTAATTATTATATATTATATACAATTGATGTAGGGTTGACAGTGGGTATTAATCATTAATTATTAATTACAATTCTTAAATTTTATATAAAAAGTACAATTAATTATATAGGATTGGCAGTGAATATTAATCAATTAATAACTAATAATTCTCATATATTCTATACAATTGATGTAGGGTTGACTGTGGGTATTAATAATTAATTATTAGATCATATTTATTTTATATATAAAATACTATTATGTAGGATTGGTGGTGAGTATTAATCATTAATTAATTATTAATTAACATATATATAAAAATACAATTGATGTAGGGTTGCAGTGGTATTAATTATTAATTAATTCTTAATGATTCTATATAAAAATAATTTGTAATATTATATAATAATTATTATACTCTTAATATATAATTATTTATAATGGAACACATAATAATTTATATATAAAATACAATTATATAGGGTTGGCAGGGGGTATTAATCATTAACCATTGTTAATTAATAATTATATATGTAATGATACAATTGATGTAGGGTTGGCAGTGGCTATTAAATATTAATTAATTCTAATTGGGAGTTGTTTATTTGTTTATTGGAGTGGTGAACCCAGGGCAGTGATGSCTCAAAATAAAACAAATTTATTCCATAAATCCATGAAAAGCGGGAGAGAAAGATGAAAATGGGATTATTGAGCAGCAACTCCTGGAATAAACTGGGAATTACTGGGAATTTGGAATTCTGTGGATTGAAGGGAGCAGAGGAATTTAAACATTTGTATTTTTACATTCCAGATGGCAAAATGTGGCTTCAGCAAGCAAATCCTGGAAATCATGAACAACACGGGGTACGTGTGGGGTTTGCTGAGCTTTTGRGGTAAAATCTGAAATTTAGAGCCAAGAGGTGGGAAAATATCACTGGGGTTGTTCCCCAAATGGAAATTGGGATTTTTAAAAAGGATTTTAAAGCAGTTGAGGGGTTTGCTGGGAATTTTAAATGGGTTTTTGTTGGTTTTTAGATTTTATTCACAATTCCCCAGGGAATAATGATTTTTTTCCCTTTCTCCAGCGTGGATTATGAGACGTTTGACATCCTGGAGGACGAGGAGGTGAGGGAGCCTCTCC